TACCTCGAGACTTCTGAGGACAACCATGGGTACAACGAAACACCTTGTAGCTGTGCTGCATCTTGTTTGGTATCTGCAGCTTGACCAATCTATAATGTACAGCATAAAAACAAGCATTATTGTTAGTCAGTCTGATATAATTTAAAAGTATTAAAATATATTATAAATCTTACTTACGTATTGTGTTTTTTCACCGTCTGTGAGTCTCGGGCCCTGAATAGTAGGAAGTGTTCGCTGCAATATTTCTCCATAACATCACCGAACTCGGTCCATGTCGAAAACTCGAGCTGTCGCATCGGCGGAACTTTGTTTACAAAGCTCACACGGGACGTTTCCATTGCCAAACGTTCGGGATACGACTTGGTGCGTCTGACCCTTGGCGTTTGGTCGACATTAGGATCTTGGGCGGCTATGTTTGTGTCTTTGCCCTGTTCATTATCTGCTGACGCCAAACAAATAGTCTCCGCGACACTGTCCTCGCCAGAGCCGTCACTTTCAGCGTGCCGTCGTCGTTTGGTAGGTGTTGTTAGTTGATGCAGACGACTTTTCCTCTTGGAGGCCCGGCTTGTATCTGTCCGAAGTATCAAAAACAGTTAAACTATAGTCATATACGATAATTTTTCGCAATACAGCACGATCCAATTTCGTCCAAAAATTCCTGCAACGTATCACTCGAATCGCTATCAAGTGTGATGTCAACATCACGGTCGTCGTATTCAGACCCGGAAGAAGAAGAGCTCAGCTCGAAAAGGGCGTCTATGTCATCTAAACAACAGAAGCATTAACGTTGGGGATTTTTTTTGTAATGACCACAAATATAGCAAAGAAGCTGTGATACGTACCTTCAGACATTTAAGTTGCGATCTCCAGTCAACTGTCGCGTCCATTAGTGATCGTCTAGCAGGAAAACAGGTAGAATTCTTCCCGTGAGTGACAGCTTTCGACGCGTGGCACTGATTTCTCGAATGAGCCCCAAAATTAAACGGCCAGGATTCATCGCACTTAACAGCATTCTTCGAACTTAGTTGAGATTGTAGTGTACACACTGGTAATTTTCGGCGAATTTAAAATTTCACATGTAAGTTTTACAATTCAGAAAATATCATAAAAACTTTAAGGGCGCTCATATCCTCAAGCGCCCTTAACGGTACTATTTATGCAAAATCCTTAGGGTGCTTGAACTACTTCGCAATGAAATACTAGAGCGAATGCTCGTCAGTTTTAAAGCCTGCCATCACTGCTGCTGCTTTAGAGCTTGACCGGGGAAGGTGATAAGAAACGTACTTAAGTGGGAAATATCATCTAGTTTCTACATGTAATATTTTTAAAATCTCCAAGTTAATAATAGAATATTATGGTAGCTTTTGAAAAACCGAGCTACCAGTTCTATGAATAAATAGTATTATTACTATCAAAAATATCATATGATATTTGGTTATCATTTGCCCCTTTTTGCTGGTGGTTCCCAGTTGTAGAGAATAAAAAAAAGCTACAGTAGGAAATCAGTCATCACCCGATGCGTCTTCTTTGGACTTGGTTCTCAAGCAGCAGTTCGAAGATCCGTCTTGTGTTAGCAACTTCCTGATTTTACTCGCACTGTCCGTCGTCAATGACGGCGGAGTGCGAGTAAAATTAAACGGCCCGTCAATAGCCACGTTGGGAGCATTCTCAACAGTTCAGCTTAGCAAAAGCATACAGCGTGGCACAGATGATCTACATATTGATGCATCCTGTGCTTTTAGCTTCTTGTATAATAGGAAATACTACGCAGTAATAATGATAGTACTATTTTGATCGACTATATGAACCTACATGTAATGTAATGTCCAGGACCACACATAATTCGCTCATGGTTCAGAGGTAGAGTTGAAAAAGACAGGAGAAGATATAGAGGAAACATACTTCGAGGTAGTACAACGTACGCTGAACTTCATTTTCAGATGAGCCGGTGAAGCGAATACAGCTTAATCGCACCAGCGAACGGCAAAAATAATCCTTACTGTAGGAGTACATTTCAACACCATGGTATTACAGTATACGAGCTGTAGCACGTACCACTCTGTTCCATCTCAAATCTAACACTTCTCCCACTGGTGCGAGCCCAATAAATGACCGTGCGATGTGCCTTGATTGGTAAAAAAAAACTGAAAAGTCATTGATTTACTGCAAAACTCATATGTCAGCACCATGCGTTTCCATATGAGGCACAGGACTATAAAGGACGACATTTTGGGTACAGTAAGGGACGACGGATACCCGAGACCATCCTCCGAATGAAAGAGATCTTCATTTCACCTTTTGCTGCTAAGACCAACACGTGACGAAGGCGCTAATGGACCTGCCAACCACAAGTCGACTCTACCAAGCTGCGATCGCTGCAGCCCGGTTTGCGGATCAAAGACTCGAGAGCAGGACGCGTAGCGACTACAGCAGCAGTCTTCGACGATTCTCAGCGTTCTGCAAAAGTGAAGGCTACCCAGACCCACTGAAGAAACGATTTGTGGAGCTGCCCGGGGTGGTGGCCGCGTACATCAACTTACTCGACACCTCCAGCTCAACTTAATGGCCCGCTGAAAAGCTTCGCGCTGCGCTTAGCTGGCACTACACGAAACCTGAGATGCTAGTCGGTGGCCACCCACACGATCGTTGGGTTGTTGAGACTTCTCCGGACGGCACCCCAGCACCTCGAGGCAACCCGGCACGGTCAGCAGCCATCACGCGGATTCTCGCCGGTCTCAGCAAATCCAAGAAGCGCGAGCGGACTCCAAAGCGTGCGTCCCCGATGTCCCTGTTGATGCTGACGAAGGTCATTACATTCTTGGAGTCGAATTCGATGTTCAACGAAACCATGCGGCTGTGGTTTTCTGCGGTTTGTTCTCTCAGCTTCTATGGTATGTGCCGTATCAACGAAGTCTTGTTCATGAAGAAGGGCGACATTCAGCTTGGTCTCAAGCGCAAATCGCGCGTTAATGACAGCGACATCGAGTTTGGCTGTTTCACTATTCGTGACCGGAAGACAAATCATGATCCCCTCGCAAGTCGAACCTACTCACTCCATCATCTCACGAAGGAAGAACTGGCAGCTGAAGCATTGACCTTTCTTGGATAGATGGTTTACGTACGCGCGGAAGAAGTCTCACCACACCTGGCGTGACAGCGACTACGCGTTTCCATCATTGACGAAGGTACCACGCGGCACATCCAAGAAGCGAAGGAGGGAAGCAGGTGTTTGTGCACTAGCGCGACTCTCGAAGGTATACGAGATATCGACTTTGGAGGCTCACAGTTATCAGACGACACTATGCAGGATACTCAGCATACGACCGAATCAGCAGACGTCGCACAAGAGCACACTAATACCTCTAGCACCGAGTTGGGAGAGCTGAAGACACTGCTTCAAGGGCTGCATAAAATGGTCAAGGCTATTAGCGATACACCTCGTTCAACCCAGGAACAGGTGTGTGACGACGATATTGAAGTGCCAGTGGCCGCTAATCTTAAGCCAGGATCGGATACGACAGCACTAGTGTCTGAACTTTCGGACGCCAAGTCGTGGAAAGACTATGTTCATCAGTACTGGAATGCGAACCCGGACTGTCACCAGTATCGCGCGGGAGTGAGCGAAAAGTTCATCGATTGCGTCTCTCCAGGATGAAGATCATCGCCGAGTTCATTCGCGAGCAGTACGACGATGACCAAGACAAGTTCAAGATGGACTTCGCAACCTTCATTGGCGAGGAACTCACCGTCAACGAGATCCTTGCAGCAGTTCGTAACCGAAGGAAAGCCAGTAAAGTAGCGGTGTGCGATCGTCCTTAATTGTACTGACGTCCCTGACTGTACCATACTGTCGTCTCTTGTTGTACCATCGGCGTTAATTGTACTATCGTCCCTTATTGTACCATCGTCCTCTGTTGTACTTACCCCCTCAATTCTACTACCGTCGTCCTTTATTGTACTATCGTCCGTCCCTTATTGTACCGTCGTCCCTTATTGTACTATCGTCCGTCCCTTATTGTACTGTCGTCTCTTAATATACTGTCGTCCCTTATTGTACCGTCGCCCTTTATTGTACTATCGTCTCTTTTTGTACTTTTGATACTTACAAATTCCAATACAAACTGAAACGACGGATTTGCACCTTCCATTTTAAGGCACTACCTCTCATGCCTACTCCCTATCTTTAGGGGGCGTAATCTTCATCGCTGTCAGAAGAGCTGCTGAAGTCACTCGCGTGATATTCGTCAACACTGTTGTCTCCGTCTCCATCGTCTTGCGCACCTTCTGATTCTTCTGATTCCTCATCCGGTTCTTCATACTCAAAGGGGTTGTCTTCCGATCCTTCGTCATTTTCCTCATCACTGAAGAATAGCCCACCGGGGACTGGGAACGGCTGCGAACCCGCTGGGCACTGCAAGTCACGGGCTCGGATATTGCGCAGATACTGAGCGTTGTATGCCACGAGACACTCGTAGTCAGCCGTGTGGCTACATTGAGGTCCTTTCAGTACCACGCCCGTGATGACCCTGAGGCAAGCCACACACGTTGGTGGTGCCGCCACATGCCTCACAATTATTACTTCATCGTCTTCAACTTCAAGGTGCACGTAGGCTCGGCAGCTACTGCAACGTGGGTCAGCGGGGATTGTTCGCTTGATGCACTCACGGTGGTACGGCTGCCGACAGCTGTCTTGGTCACACACCCATGTCTCACCATCGAAAGGATCCAGGCATATGACGCAATCAGTAACACCGTCGCGCCCCGTAGCCTTACTTGATTCTTGGTGACCTTGTGCCTGGACGTGTTCCGCTTTCCCATTTTCCTGATGGACTTGATCATCTTGTGCACCTTGACTCGTCATTGTCTAGATGTTCTAGCTCCAAAAAGCTGGGAACAGCAACGATGTCCGATAGCTCATCATCTCCAGTCAACAGCAGCTGATCAAGAAGATCATGTGCATAATCATCGTCATCACGAGCAGCTTGATCTCGGGTGTAATCATGTTAAGTCGGATTGTCCGTGTCGAAATCATCCACCTGGTCCGACCGATCATGCCTATCATCCGACTCGAGCAGCTGGTCCAAGCGACCTTGCACATCGTCAGGTCCCACCAGCTGTTCTTGGGTTCCAACGGACTCCCGCTGCAGACGACGTCGCTCTCGGTGGTATGCTGCGTCGCGTTGTCGCCTCGCTGCAGCCAGCTGGTTCCGGTGCTCGATGCGATCGGCGAGATTGCGGCACCTACTCACTCGCTGATGGCGCGTGACATGGTGCCTGTTCCCCTTGACCCAATGCCAACACACGTCACAAAGCTGGCACGGGGGCGCAGAGATACCGCGGCAGCGTCCTTGCTGGTGCAGCCGTAGGTGGTCCGACCGCTCAAAGTCGTGATGACAACTGTCACACACGTATCCTGGCGTCGACAGGAGTTCGGAGATGTCCATTCTGCATACAATAACCAAAACAAATATATTACGTTGGACCAAAACAGACTATTCATAAATTACGTGTGCCTATAGCCTTGGTAGTCGCACGTGCGCTGTGGGCCCTTCGCACCAGTAGAGCAGATAGCTTCGCGGTAGATTCGATAGTGAAGCGCAGATTTTTTCAAACGTGCGCAGGCTCCGGATGCGTCCCGTGCGAAATGTATCCAATTGGCATCAGAAAAAAGCCGTTGCCCTTACCCTACCGCGGCCTCTCTGAAAGGGCATGCCTGTTGTAGTATAAGAAAAATGGTGTATCATGTGTACACAAAATTGCCTACCCCTACATAAAGTCGCACAAGCCCAACGAAGTCCTACTTCTCCTTTACTGACATATTTGCTAAACTAATGGTGTGATTTAGCTAAACGAGCCCACTACGGAAAGCCCTGCCTTAGCTCTATAAAGCAGTAATTTTTGGTAGAATATAGTCAAACAGCAACGAAGTACAGAGCAAAAGAGCGTCATTCGTTTTGACGGGGTGGACGTCTAGTATATGGAATGGTCTGTTATGAGAATTTTGGATTTCGAACCAATTTGTTGGTTACATGTATACATACATTTAAATTCTTTGGTTGGATTTAGATTAGTTTCGTCTCACCCTCGACGCCTCTCAGATTGCGACTGTGATGCGACGGAGTTCACTTATTGTGAATTGTATGTTGGTTGGCTAGAGCGCGTTCATTGAGAGCAGCAGCTCCAGAGCAGGAGGTACTTGCTGCTGTGCTGGCATCACGTCGATACCGGATGTCATTCTCTTTCCGCCTCATGAGGAGTTTTAGATAAATTCTCTGCATAGAAATCACGCAATGCCAACACTACAACCAAATCGGTAGCTCTAGTTTTTGTTTTGTGTCTCGCGGTCGGTGTGGTGCCTTTTTTCGCTTTCTGTGATGCTGTACAAGCGAACGTTTTCATGCATCAGATAGTCTAAAAATGTAAACTTCGATAAAAGATCATTTAAAATACTACTGTAGTATTTTTTAATCGGTATTAAGACCAAGCTCCGAAAAGTAGAGATGAGCAAAAAAAAAGTGTTTTCTTCGTTAAAACACATGCGAAATATTACTTTCGATTAATCCGCGTACGAATCCAATTCTCTTGATACAAACTGTTGGATCAAGGTGTGGCCAGCCTCTTCTTCTCTTCTTTCTTCTTCTCCATCGCCGTGTAGAAGGAGTAGTAGCCGAGGTATAGTCGCTGGAGTTGCTTCGCAACATTATTCATCTCTGCTTGGGAGACGCCCAGCACCGTCTTGACTTGCGTCGGCGTCAGCTTAGCCTTGTACCAGGCACGATAATTGATCCTCCACGCTGCGCGGTCCTCTTCACCCGCTTCGGCGAGAATTGCCGCAATCGAGCGCTCCTCCGTGTTGCGCAGAGATCGAGCAAATTCCTGGTTGTTGTTCATCGTGTTGATGTCATTTGACGTCTCAGCGACCGCAGCAGTGGAGCTGGAAACGAGGGCCATCATTGCCACCACAGCGACGAGAAGGAAGCGCATGGTCAAGCAGTTGGGTTACTCGAAAGGGGGCAAAATGCGGACTGTTGATTTCATAACGCAGCTCGTGTGGAACAGCAAAGCCCATGAGCATCGAAAAAGGGCAGATGTTCGATTTGCTTATCTTCTGGATGCAAAAAAACCTTCCGTATTTGTTGCTGGCAACAACAAATACATGTACGAATCGTACTACGATGGCAAGTTGGCAGTGCCAACAGCTCAAACTGCGGGAATGAAGATCTGATGGAGGCATCCCACTGGTATCCATCCCATAATCAGCTTTCCTTAAAATCAAACCTGTAATATTTAATACATATTTTCCTCCTCTTTGTTTTATCAGCATGGACTTCTTCTTCATTTTAATGCACTTTAGAATTTAATAGCTCGTTCTAGTAATTGGTGTTATAATTTGCTCTTGGAAACGATAATGACCAAAAACAAAATCACGTTCTGTCAGCTTACCTGAGCCGCTGCCTTCATCGGATGCGGAGCCACCGGCTCGGCAACGGACGAAGCGGCGCCAAAGAAAAAGAAGAATGGTAGGACGTCCATTTAAATAGCCAAGAGGGCTCGAATTACTTACTTCCGCTGTTAAAATAGCTGTTCTGGGCATGTATAATAATCTCCTGCTATTGATTAGGAAGAAAAGGAACATTTCTGGAAGCGCGAGTGGCGATGTTGCGTCAAAATGCGGGGATTTCAGGCCGGAAGGAGGTGGTATTTAGCTAGAGCTCCAAGTTGCGGCGAATTAACAGTAGAGAGAGGCAGCGACAAAACGCGATGGCTGCAGCCCAATCAGCTTTTGCCGAGTTTTCGGTGGGTTACTTCGTACAGCTTCATCATATAGGGTGTCCAAACTTCTTTTTTGTTTCTCTTCCTTTGCTTGCAGTCTCTGCGGGGTCAGGATACTGCTGCACGACGATCGCAAGTTTGCGCCTTGAATGAGCAAAATTTGCGGCGAATCCGAATCAACCTTTCCGCAAGGAGTCTGGCTATAATAATAATACTTGACGGAAGAAGGACATTACATCTATAACGCTGGGCGTGCACTAGTTTGTGGGTGTGCCGAGTGTCAATGCAGTAAAGTGTTGGACGCGCAACACAGTTTTCCCTTTTTCAACTTGAAAAGAACCACAACTGATCTGGGTGAGGACATGATGCTTTCCAACGGACTTTAAAAGAACGCGATCAAGTTCTTCCAGTGCGATGAATACGATGGGGAGGGAGGGCCGTATGGCATCATGGCCACCGCCCTCGTTGGTAAAGACGATTTTTACCCGTATTTACTATCGGATGCGGCTTCGTAAAGACGTCTCTGCGGCATTGAGCTTTCGTCATTTACGCGAAAGAAAAGCGATGGGATTGATGAGGATGAGCTCGTAGACAGTGGTTTCGGGTGAAGCTACATCACTCGGACCTACACATCCCGCTACACGTCCTGCAGGAGGTTCAACGCAGCGTGACACTCACATGGTCCACAGCATGAGCGAGTCGCAATACGGCGCTTGGGCATGAAATTGACAAAACATGTATGCATGTTTCTGCTGTTAAAAGGATGAATGTCTGCAAACTAAGCTTACTTCTACATACGTTACGTAGGATCTGATAACATGACGGTTTGTTAACGAGACTCGTAGATAACACGGTGCATACTCTGAACCATCGTGTCTGAGAAGCACGCGAGTCCCTGACGGACTTCCTGGAGCACGTGGGGAGGGATATCCATCTCTGTATGGTGCAACTTGACCCGGAAAAACCGCGTTAGGACCACCACACGTTCGTATTCGTCGTCTTGGTCCTCCTCGGGGTCCCGAGGATACGGAAAGCCCCCCGTTCCATACAGTGGATGACGCGTGCGTGTCTTTGTCTTCCGGTTCGCTGGTCTCTTACAGAAATGTTCCGTAAACTTCATGGCTGCGTTGATGTCCATTCGCACGCGTTCTTCAGGGACGTATGGGTACATATCATCCAGATCCACCGAGTCCGTGGCGACTAGAGCATAGGGAGCTTGTCTTTCCTGCTCGTCGTCCACATCTGGCTCGACCAGTTTAAAGAACTTCACAATGTTCTTTTCAACCTTAACGCCCTGCGACATGGTGCTAACCAGTCGGTGGTTCGAGAAGGCGTCGCTCGCTGTGCTGTCGTCATCTTCGCGCACTGTGATGTCCCCCAGCATCTCGGAGATGCTGATTTCCATATTCCGGAAGAAAAACTGCAGCGCCTCGAACACTTGGCGCACAGACCTGACGCCATGGAACGGCGTATTGTCCATCTTCTCGGCGCAGAAATGTCCCTCCTCGGTCTCAAATTTGCTCTCCTGACACCAATGCGTCAGGCGCGGCATGACTTTGGCTCGCTCGGTGATGAACTCGTCGGCTTGTCTCAGCTTCTTGTCCTTCAAATGGACCAGAGCGGCTCGTCTTTGCTTTAAATCGGCCGTGAGATGGATAAACGTCTCGATGGGGCTCTCGGGGCACTTCATCAAGTACTCGGCCGCCATAATAGCGTGTGCGTTTCGAAGCAGCAAGTCCTGCTTCCTGGACTCTGCTCGGAGTCTGTTATTGTCCTGGATGCGCGCATAGAGCTGCTCCTTCTCAGCGAAGAACGCGTCTGGAATCCCACTCGCTCTTCTGAGATGAATGACCTGCTGCTTGAGCTGAACCAGCTCTGCTTCGAGCAGTGCCTTCTTTTCTTTACGGACTATATACGTAGGTTTCTTATCCCGTCGTTTCCTCTTGGCGATGTCTCCGTCGTCGTCTGTAGCGGCATATTTCGCAGGTCTCCCGACTCGCCTCTTCTTGGGGCTCGTAGGAGGGTCCAGTCTCTTCCTACCTCGACCGACGTGCTCCTCTGCAGTGCCAGGAGGCGTCAGGGCACCCGACATGCTGCCAAATCCCTCCCTGAGTCGCTGATGACGCCCCAGCCCTGGGTGCATGAAATGGCCTGATGCTCCGTGTTCGCGTCTCAATTGCTCGTATTGCGGCTTACGGCTTGGATTGACGATCTGGATGAGCGAGAGAAGGTTGTCCGCTGCGGCGGCTCTGTCCTGGGTCCCGCCGGGCGAGATATGGCGGCGGCCTGCTTCGGGAAAAGATGAACGCGGGAAGGACGAGGAGGAGGAATAACTCGGGCGCCCGGAGGCTTCTGGTGGCCGCAGAGAGCGCGAAATGCCGCTGTGGTAGTCGCGCGCGTCCTGTTCTGCGTCGTATGCCTCCATGGATGCTGTGGGGGACACGCGGCGCTCGTAAAGTCCCATGGCGAATGTGCTCTCTGCTGCTTGATTGCGAGTGGGAAGTGAACGCTGTTCGGTGATGTGTCACTCCGTGTGAAAATGATTGTGACATGAAATGGTACAGTAGATGAGGTGGCTTACGTAACTCACATCTGTTAAAGATGATAGGGTGCAAATGCACAGGTATTTACTGGACAAAGAGAAGTGTGATTTCATATTTTACAAACAAGTTTTTTGGGCCCCCTGTTTGTGCGGCATGTATGTTATAACAAATAACGCATCATCAACGGTACCCCGTCGATTGCTCTATAAAGGCATGGCAAAACCTTACCATAATCGCATCCACCGGCTCTATTATCCCTCGGTGATTCAAAGACAGCTGAGCCCTCTTCGTCTACATGCACAGTCGAATCATGCCAGCCGACGTCATATTTAGGCACTGGCAGTGCTGTCCTCGAATCTGTAAATGAAAGAGGTAATGCCACCAAATATTAATCGCTGGCAGCAAATAGCTTGATACTTTAAACAGTAATCAGAATACTCCCGTGAAAACACGGTGGCACCGTCAGGGGCTAATGGTAACCAAATATCATATGATATTTTTGATAGTAATAGTACTATTTTCGATATTAAATATTAATAGTAACTCATTTTTGCAAAAGCTAACATAATATTTTTATATTAGCTCGGAGAACTGAAAAATATTAGATACTACATGATATTTTATGATATTTCCCCACTTAAGTACGTTTCTTGCCAGCTTACCGAGCGGAGCCAAATAACTTTTTCGATCAGGTTCTAGAAAAGCAGTAGGCTTTAAGACTGACGAGTATTTGCTCTAGTATTTCACTGTGACACAGACAAAGGCGATCGAGATGGAAAACTGCAAACGCTTGCAGCTGTTTAACGTTGATAGAGCGAAATCAAGACATTTGTTCTTGTTCTCTTCCGATCTCCTCGTCGACATCGTGCGTCTAATAAACCTGCTGCCTGTGGCGCTAGATTAATGCGCTCAGCAGTGCCAACACACAACGCCAACCTTGCCGTCACTCACAATTGTCCCGGTACTCACGGTTGATTAGTAATACTTCAGCTAGTCGAGCGTTAACGACATCTGATTGGTTAATTTAGCCCGATTACGCAATCTTTGAAAATATAATATCGTATTAGCTAATATTAAGTTGATATTTAATAATATCATATTGTCTCAGAAGAAAATATAAGGTGATATTTTTAATATTAACTGGTCTACAGGTGATATTTTCACAATATTAACTTCACCGATTTTGGAGTTACCATTAACCCCTGGGCACCGTGCCCCTCGATGTTGACGCGACGCAGGTGCGCGCATGTCTTGCATCCACAATCCGATGGGTAAACTGATAATTCCCAAGTACATGTACCGGGTATTAACAAAGTATTACATGTACTTTCTAATAGTGCGTGCGTCTGAGTGTGAGAGTCCGCTGCATGGCCCGAACGAGCTCTTCGCCCCAGCGGCCAATTTCATGGCGTGTCTCCTCTAAACAGTCGTACGATACGTCCAGATCCGAATGGTGCAACTTGATCAGCGACCACAGCGTGACCTTGACCACGAGCTCCCCATCGTCACTGCATCTCGTTCGACCATCTCCCTCTCGATGGATATGCCAGTGCTCCTCCTGCGGAAGACGCGTAAGCAGTAGCGCTGCTGTGACGTCCTTCCGCATCCGCTCTTGTGACCGATAAGGATACAACTCGTCTTCATCCACAAAGTCGGCCATAAAAATACCAAACGCGCTGGTTGCAGTGCCATTGGGGCCACTAGATGTTGTCGCTTCATGGAATTCATTAAACTGCAGCGAGTTGGTCTCCAGTGGTGGAGCATGAGGTGCAGATCCCGTAGTGGTCACTAATCTCAGTTGAGTGACATTGTCGTCCCCGTCATCATCATCCTCCCGAATTGTAATATTCCCCAGAACATCCGACATACACATTTCGACATTTGCAATCTGGAATAACGCCGCGTCAAATACGGCACGGAGACTGGCAGCCCCGCGGAAATGTGTTACAGCGAACCTCACGGCGCAATAATCACCTCTAGAGGTCTCGAATCGCTCTTCTTCGCAGTACTGTCTCCCAGGCTCCAGTCCTCGACTGCGACGCAGTAGAAACTCGTGCGTCGTCTGCAGTTTGGTGTCTTTCATGGCCACCAGCTCTTGGTGACGCTGTACGCGATCCATTCCGAGCTTAATGAATGTATTGAGGGGGCTAGTATCGTGTTGTTGCTGGACATACCCGGAGATGAGCCCTTGAATCTCCGCTAGCGTCGATTGTCTTGATTGCACTGCGTCCCGCAGAATTGTATTCATCACTGGAGCTTGAGTATGTTTCTTGACGTGTAAGGCATTCGACACAATGGCCTGCGACTTGAGACCTTCAGTTGGTCCTCTAGCTGCTCGATTTGACTTAATAGCTCCATCTTCTGCTCCTTGCGAAGCTTATGCGTAGGAATGCGTTCTTTTCGCGGCGGTTCAACTTGCTTGGCTTCCGATCCGTTCTTGACGGTTCTTTGCCGTTTAAAGGCTGTGTTGTCATCATCGGCACTGCTCTCGTCGCCGCTGGTGCTCGTGGCACTATGCATCTGCTTGTTATCTGTCTTGTAGGTGCCGGTTTCTTAGTATTCAAGTCGTTCAACGGCGTAGGATTCGAGATATTCGCGTCAGACTTGCCTCCATGGAGCGGACGCCTGCGATATATGGCTGTTTGGGCGAGCCGAGGGCTGCGGTGGCGCGTGGAGGGCCCACAGTTCATCCGGAATCGTCAAATACGGTAATGGTGATAGCAATGAGCGAACTTTGCTTTTCGGACTTAGCCGCGTAACATGAAACAAATAACGTTATAATTCATGTATCTTGATACACTGGGTACATGTAGACGACGAGAAGCAAAATTCAAATTGAGAGGGCTCTCTATAAAGCACGTCATGCGTGTCCCAGCCTCCAACTTGGAGTCGAAGTGCAGGCATGACGGACCGTCATACGTCACTATTGCCATTACCGTAATGGCCAAAGCTGGGCCGTCCCGTCGAGCCTGCAGACCGACAGTATCCTCTTCACCTCGTCTTGCTGTCAGTGACAAAACGCACACGGGAGCGTCTCTCCTATTTATACTTCGAAGCACTCTTGGAACTTCACTCGGCCCACTGTCAAGAACGTCAACGTCGGCACCGTAATTTATTTGGTGAGAGCAGCCGAAAAACTCTAATAAGAAATAAAAGGCACTTCTATTACCATACAGAGGCGTTTGAACAGTTTTTTTCATATTCCGTGCTCGACAAAGCTCTTAAATTTATGATTCCAACAATACACTTATCCACAACGTCATCACTTGAGCATTTACCGACACTGTCGTCGATGCTCGGAAGGCTTGACTAGTAAATACCATCAAAACCTCCTGCTCCACGTCCATGGATCTATTCCAAGTCTCCACCGCCAAATCCACTATCAAGGTAAAATGTCAGCCACAGAATGTGCTCATGGTCGTGTCCAACCGCCAGTTGCAGGTCTGGAACGGATCTACTTGTTGGCCGTCGAATCTTCAGGACGGCTCATTGATGTATCTCGTTACCGACCCAGGAAAAACTGTTGAAGACGAATCTCCAGCGTCCTCTGCCTCAGGCTCGACTTCTCCTGTGCCAAAAGAGCCCGAGAAGAAGAAACGTGCTTACAAAAAGTGCAAGGCGACGCACACGATTCGAAAGGAGCAGAAGGCGGTACTAGAGAAGAAGATCGCTGAGCTACAAGCCCATCTTGAGGATATTAAGTTCTGGGCACTGGTAGAGCAGGGCGAAGTGTGTAAATCCTACCATGACCGAGTAGAGAAACAAAAGAATCGATTCAGGATCAGCATTTGGTGATGGCGCAGGTGAGAGCTCTGCTATCGGGTCAGATGACACCAAATGAGTGGAGTGAGAACCATGGAGACCAAGATCTTTATGAGCGTAGATAGAGCAGAAAGACGTGTTAATGCCTGATCGGCAGCACTTTGACGCACTTGAGTCTCACAACGCAAGAGAAAGAGTAAGATTGACAGCCTAACTAACTACGCCTAGTTTTCATGTCTAACCTCTTGTGCATGCAGATGAACGCAGCTGCCGTGCGCATCAAATCTCTGGTCCAGATCCAGACACTTGTCCACAGTCACCCCAGTTTCCAACACTCCTCCTCGCCGGCAGTGCCTTGCATTCTGCTTTCCATGGTCCTTCGACGGACTTCGCTCCAGTCTCATTAATGTTTCCCGATCTTCTCGCGCAACGCCGTCATTCTCGGCGCACTTAGCGCCTTCGTCATCAGATCCGCAAGCATGTTCGCTCTCTCCTTATACCCAGGCCTCAGTACACCTCGCCGAGGGTATGAGCTCACGAACTTGATTCGCACATCAATGTGCTTCGCCTTGGCCGATGCCGTCTCTCCGTCGAGATGCTTCAGAGCGACCTGGTTGTCCACCAGCAGCAGTATCGGCTCAACGAGCTTTACCCCGAGCTCCCCAAATATTCTTGCACCCCGAGCACTTCCGTCACCATCACAGAGGCTGCTGTATACTCAGCTTCCATCGTAGAGAGAGAGACTCCCCCTTGCTTCTTACACACCCAACTCACCGGCATGTCATCCAACGTCACCAGACCACCCGTAACGGACTTCCTGGCCTGCTTGTCCGCTGCAAAATCGGCATCGCTAAAAGCTACAACATCAAAAGCCTCGTTCCGTTCCTTCGTTCCCTTCATCTGCAGCCGCACCTCCTTCGTTCCGGTCAGATAGCGAAAATTTCTTTTCGCCAGCTTCCAGTCCCCGACTGACGGGTTGTGCATCTTGCGCGACGCCTTGTGAACAGCGAAAGCGATTTCAGTACGCGTGCAGCGCGCCACCCACATCAAGCTCCCCATCAACGACTGAAACATCGTCACAGTCACTCCGTCATCCCCTCCTGACACAGTCAATGCCTCAGTGGCATTCTCATCATTTCATTCAGGTCCGATTGGTACGCGAACCGCATGCGCAGCCTTCATACCGAACTCTTTCAGCATGTCCGCTATCATTACTACCTGGTCCTGGTGATAACTGTCGTCCGCGTCGTACGTCATACGCACGCTCAGGAACTTGCTTGCCACTCCAGGATTCTTCACAGACAGGCTCGCTGAAGAAAGCATCCACAGCTCCCGCTTCCGTACCCGTGACCAGCAGGTCGTCTACATAGACACCCACCACAGCTAGTACTCCGTTGCGCCAGCGGTAGTATACACACATGTCAGTCAGGCTTTGATTAAACCCGACACTTACCAGTTTCCGATGTAGCAGCTTGCTACACAGACGGCCGGCTTGTTTGAGTCCGCATAGTGCCTTCTGTAGCTTCAACACAAGTTCCCTATGGCTCGTGACGCCAAGCATGCGCTTAATCTCCTCGGAGATCGTCATTCCCTTTAACACTTGGACATAGATGTCCAGCTCCGCCTCCTTGTCAGCTTTTACATACGTGTTGGGCACGTCCCCATGCTTCGCATGTACGCGCCACTTCCTCGCTAAACAAAGTATTATCTTCACACTTCCTATGTTCATTACAGCGGTGAACGTGATGCTGTAGTTGGCCCCAAATTCCTGCTCGTCTCCACAGGCCACGAGCCGCGCCTTCAGGCGCTCGATTGCTCCCTCAGCGTCTCGCTTGGTCTTAAACACCTACTTTGTGTGAACTGTACGTACCTCTCGAGGCGCACGCTTCTGCAAGAGGACGGGGGGGGGGGGACAGCGCAGCGAGGCTAACAACCAGGCGATCAATGGGAAAGCTGAGCGGATGCATAGGATCATCATGAATATGGTTCGGTGTATGATCTTTGCCTGCGACCTTCCTTTGCGTTTCTGGGGCGACGCGGTCCAGTACGCAGCTTACATCCTTCATATCGCCGACGAGCTCGAATCCTGTACGGGCTTCGCCGCTGGAGATGCTCGAGAAGAAGACGCCGTCGCTCGGTGAGATGGTGCTTCTGGTCTCCCTGTACGGCTTACAGAGATCCTCGTAACAAGCATTTCTCGCAGCGGGCGCAGCAAGGAATGATTGTCGGCATCGGGGAGGAGACCAAGGTGTACCTACCAAAGGATCGTGTGGTCATAACCACGCAACACGTACACACATCGAAACCCTGAACAAGGAACAGAACAAGCAAGTACATAAGCTGTATCTTCAGGATGCGGATGGGAACGGCGCGGAGGAGTCCGCGGACGGCACAGAGAATGCGGATATGGTAGCAAGCGCTGGTAGCAAGACCAGGCGAGGGGCTAAGGGAGAGAATCGTGCGAAGAAGGCGTGGCGGCGCGACAGACACGTGACGCGCTCGATAGCGCGCAGGACTGCGGAAGGAGTGAACGAGTCAGCTCTGCAGGAGGATACGCCGGACAGTGGCGTGAACAGCGTAGTGGAAGTGGACCCCGAGAAATATGGAGAGTCTATGCGTAGCCAGCGACCTGAGTAATGGCGGAAGGCCGCGGAAGAAGAGATGAGAGCTCTGGACGCGAACGGGGTGTAGAAGTGGTGCAACAAGTCCACATTCTGATATTCGCCTCCAGAATCGGTCATCAGCACGTGAATTCTACAGTCGAAACGCTTCTCGAAGAACGTAAGGAATGTTCAAACGGCTTGGCTGCAGCGTCCTTCGTCTTCGCTAAGAAAGCCCTGCAGTAGTTGATCTTCTGATCGACAAAATTGATCATATACCGATTGGTAAGTCGATCGCGTGAGGTCATCGGGCCATTTAAGCCTGAGCAAATGACGCCCCAACGCGATGGATCGGCGAGTGAGCACCCCTATCATTTCCAGATTGCTTGTTCTTAGCCTGTTTTCCCTACGCACAGGTCAAATAGCTCACTCGTCTGTGATCCGTGAGCTTGGTGCCCGAACTTGGATCCGTTGCAAGGCGCTTCACAGCATCGTAGTTTAAGTGTCCGAGCCTACGATGGAAATCTACCTGTGTCCCTTGCTGCACGTTGCTCGACACGTCGCCCGACCCATTTGCCTCCTCCTCCTCAAGGGCAGCCATGATCACTTCGGACAGAGCCTAGACACCCTTTCCGCTATTCCGATTACCACCAGCACGTTTCTACGCAACGCTACATCGAAAGCCACTTTTTCACCAACCTTGGCCACAACTACGCGTCGTTCGCCCTTTTGGGCAAGTGGGTAGCCCGTTTTGTCCAGCTGACCGTACGAGATCAAATTGTGCACCACGCTCTCCGCGTCATAAACGTCGGACAATTTTACCGTCTGTATCACCCCGCACGCAGTGCCCCGCAGAGTCACTGAGCCTTTCATGCTGATCGAGAGTGGCTCGCCGTTCGGCTGTACACACTGGTCGTCACACGGCTCCACGTCCTCGAGCCAGGACGCGTCGTTCACCAGGTGCCGACTCGAGCCGTTATCCAAGATCCTGGTATCGTCGAACTTATCCGACGTCTCGTTCACCGCCAACGTGATGTCCGGCTCCTTGTTCTTCTTTGGGCAGGCCGCACGCAGATACCCAGCCTCACCGCAGCGATAACACGTTCGCGTCTCCTTCCCCCGATCACCCCGTATTCACCACTTCGCGCCCAGGATTCTTGTCCTTTCCCGTCTTGATCTCCCAGGACTGAGCGAAATGAGCGAGCTCCTCCGCGTGTTGCAGTTAGTCCGTCCTTGATCCATCCACCTTAGCCATAAGCACCGTACGCAAGTCCACGGACGCATACTGTACGATGTTATTCAGGACCAAGTACTCAGCGCTGTTCCCAGAAGCCTCGGAGATAGCCACCAGGTACATGCAGTGTTCCGACCACGAGCGTCTCGGGTCCTTGGGTGTCGTAAACAGCTGCATCGCCTGCGCGGGCGTGATAGTCGTCTTAAGCGTTTGCAACATCTTCTCCATGATGTACTGGAGCGTGGGTAGCTGCGCCTACCAAGTATACACCTGCTTATTGAAGTACCTTTTCGGCAGTCCCTGCCATGTAGTTTCCAAAACGATCCACCTTCACGTCTTTCAGCCACAGAAATCCAAAACAGACTGCGCGAAATTCATCTTGCACTCGAACCACCTTCCCCATTCCAGGAAGCCCGAGCCCAGCCCCACGTACAGATCTTTGCCGTCGAAAGGGCGAATCGTCAGCTTCTTCTGTCGCGCATCTGGGTATCTCACTACTTGGTGTTGTTGTTGCTGGAGGCCCGCACGCGCGGCGTGCATCTGAGCCCCCTGTCCTCCAGGACATTCATGCATTTGTGCCGCAGTAGCATCTGCTCGTGCTACCCGTTCCGCAGACACTTGATCCGCTTGTGCCGCGTTGTACAGTCGCTGTAGGTACGACAATGGCATCTCATTCCCAGCCGGGTGCTGTCCAAAGTACTGCGGCGGTCCAGCTGATATTGCCGGCGATCTAGTGACCGGTGTCTGCGGCGATCCTCCGAGTGAATCAATGTGCATTCTTAACCCACGCCGAAGCAAAGATGCTAGAGCTCATACGCTGCGCGCCACCGAGCTTCGCATCCGCCTCCAGCTAATGACGCATCATCTGCTGGGATTTCGACAGCTTCTCGTACGCGACCTTTATGGTGTCCATCTGATTGGCCATGCCTTGGATTAGGGCGACCAAGTCTTCGGTCGTGTGTCCGGCGCGTGGCGCATTAGCGCCAGTGTCAGCGCCGTCATTGTGAGTGACGGCGGCCCTCTTCTCTTCTGTGTCGTCCACTGTACCAATCCTTTCGTGACTGGTCGCAGATGCAGCGGTCGTCTGCGCTGACGCAGCGTCGCCGCTGTCCTCGTCCGTGTTTTTGGTCATTTGGGCTCAAGACCTGTTAATGCCTGATCGGCAGCACTTTGGCACACTTGAGTATCACAACGCAAAAGAAAGAGTGAGATTGACAGCTAACTAGCTTCGCCTAGTTCTCTTATCTAACTTTTTGTGCATGCAGATGAACGCAGCTGCCGTGCGCATCAAATCTCTGGTCCAGATCCAGACACTGGTCCGCAATCATCCCAGTTTCCAACAAGACGACGCGTGCTACATGCACTAAGAGGGGTCAAACTTCAGGAGGCAAAGAGGTTCTTGCGAGTAGTGAGGTGCAGCGCATACCTCCGGCAGTTTTTTTTCTTTACTAAATTTAACAAGGAGAATAAATTTAGCCGTTTCTAAGCGCAAGGAGCAGTTTCTAACGAGGCGACCACAAGGCAGGATGGCTAATGGTAACCAAATATCATATAATAATTTTGATAGTAATTGTATTACTCTCGATATTCAAAATCAATAGTAGCTCAGTTTTTCAAAAGTTAACATAATTTTATTTTAAACTTAGAGATTTGAATTTTTTTTAGAAACTAGATGATATTTTTTATTTACCACTTAAGTACGTTTCTTGCAAAGACTTGCAGCAGTAGTGATGGCTCTGGATCGGCAGATAATAAGAACAAATATTTGAATTCACTCTATCGAACTGCAACCGTTTGCAGTTTTCCATCTCGACCGGCTTTGACTGTATCACAGTGAATATACTAGGGTCAGTTTCTAAGCCTTCCTGCATATAATAAATATGCAGCCTATGAGGCTAGATTATTGCGCTCAGCAGCACCAACACACCACACCAACCTTGCCGTCACTCTTACAATTGTCCCGGACTCACTGTTGATTAGTAGTACTTCAGCTAGTCGAACTTTAACGGTATATGATTGGTGTATTAATACCGATTACGCAAACTAAAAAAAAAGAATATATCTTATTCAGGGGTTAATGGTAACTCCAAAATCGGTGAAGTTAATATTGTGAAAATATCACCTGTAGACCAGTTAATATTAAAAATATCACCTTATATTTTCTTCTGAGACAATATGATATTATTAAATATCAACTTAATATTAGCTAATACGATCAGGGGTTAATGGTAACTCCAAAATCGGTGAAGTTAATATTGTGAAAATATCACCTGTAGACCAGTTAATATAAAAAATATCACCTAATATTTTCTTCTGAGACAATATGATATTATTAAATATCAACTTAATATTAGTTAATACGATATTATATTTTTCAATGATTGCGTAATCGAGCTACATTAACCAATCAGATGTCGTTAACGCTCGACTAGCTGAAGTATTACTAATCAACCGTGAGTACCGGGACAATTGTGAGTGACGGCAAGGTTGGCGTTGTGTGTTGGCACTGCTGAGCGCATTAATCTATCGCCACAGGCAGCAGGTTTATTAGACGCACGATGTCGACGAGGAGATCGGTAGAGAACAAGAACAAATGTCTTGATTTCGCTCTATCAACGTTAAACAGCTGCAAGCGTTTGCAGTTTTCCATCTCGATCGCCTTTGTCTGTGTCACAGTCAGGGGCTAATGGTAACCAAATATCATATGATATTTTTGATAGTAATAGTACTATTTTCGATATTAAATATTAATAGTAACTCATTTTTGCAAAAGCTAACATAATATTTTTATATTAGCTCGGAGAACTGAAAAATATTAGATACTACATGATATTTTATGATATTTCCCACTTAAGTACGTTTCTTG